ACATTACCACCTAGAATAGTACTTTCTCGCAATGGTTATGTAAGGGAACACCCAAGGTATTGGCTTGCAAATACTCTACAGACTAAAACAGAAGCCTGCTCAGTATTTCTGAAGTGCACATTCTTGAAACCTCACTATACATATACGCAAAAGTACCAAACATTCTTTTTCATTTTTGTGGGTTTCACAATCTTTTCCAATTGACTGTGTTGTTTTGCCACTGTGACAGAGTATTCAGAGCATTGTGGAGTACTGTAGGATATCTGGACACATATGTTGTACTCATTAGGGAAGTCAACCTAGGCATAGTTTTTGTTATAACAGATACATGTACCTTAAATACCAAGAGACGAGCCAAGTTTCTGCGTGATAGCAGTTTCTAACTTGTTACCTACATTTTTCTCAGGTTAAGCCAGAAAGATATTGCCTGTGATTTATTCCTAGATCTGTGGGTCTTTTTTTACCCCCAAACTAGAGAGCACCCTCTATATTCACTATACACAGTAAGAAGTTAAGCGATTAACATCTTTCAAATTTAACCTCTTGGACAAAGAAAGTGCACTAGTCTTTAGGACTTCAGACTTTTCAGATGTTTCCCCTCGCTTTTCAACTAATATGGTACAAAGAGGAAAAGCAGAAGAGGTGGGTAGGAGAAATTATTCCACAAACACAGGACAGATTTCACCCTCTCCGAATGAGATTAAAATACAAAAGGAACGATCTGAAAAAATTGAATTTTTAACACTTCTCCATACACTAGAACTTCTAACAGGAGCTGTTACTGTAAAGAAGAAAAATAACCACACTCGGGAATATTGTGACATGCACTGCTATGGGTCTTTCCTGCATTTTAAACCATTCTCCCAAACCAACAGCAGCATTTCTCCCAAATGGTAACAATAGCGGTAAATGATCTGTGCCATGTTGCTATTTGCTAAACATCAGGTGGTTAATATTGCACGTTGTGCACAGACAGAGAAAGCTGGGGGTTTTAATCTCTATTATTTGCTAGGGAAGAGAGGTCATGTAGGGAAGCAAACCATCTAAAGTCCAAGTGCTTTTCATAGAACAGTGTAAAAGCTGCTCTTAAAGATCTGTTTTGTACCAATTCTTTGCAACTTCACTTTATTTCTCTTCCTGCGCCGGTACTTGTATTTTCCCTCTCATTTGGTGTTCATGCAATGAGGGACTTCAATGTTTCTTTGAGACAAAATGTAGGACTTCATTAGCTGCTGCTACACATCTGCAGCAGCTTATTCAACCGACTGCATTATCATCCAGTGGCAACAGCACACTTGTTCTCCGCACACCACCAAGCCCCTCTCCAGATCAGAGCCCGACTCCCCCATCTACTCCATCGGTTCTCTTGGAAAGACCTTTCTAGTATTATTAATGCTTTGTTACAAATATAAAGGAAAGGAAATAAGAGCTACATGCTTCCTTCTCTGGTAAAGAAATAATTTGGACATTATTTGTGCATACCTGAGCCAAGAAACACCCTTGCTTCGTGGTCACCTCTCAGAGCCACGTACAACCACTCGACACAGCAAGAGGTTCCACAGGGTGAAGGAGAGAAGCTTTGGTGTGACATACACATAGGCAAAGCAGCTGCCGGAACGTCCTTGAAGATATAAGTGAGGCTCCTTCTGCTAGCGTTGGCCATACTGGTTAAGAATAATCTTGATAAGAGAAAGGCTATGGAGCAGTGGTTCTCCCTCAAAATACCTGGGCTGCAGGTGGCTATGGACTTGCAGCCCTCCCCAAGTTCTTTAGACCTCCTCCCTGCTCCATGCAGAAAGAGAGGGGACTGTTACTTCCCATTGAACTTGACGTAATTTATGAACATGTGTCTCCCATAGATACTCGCTTCTTTTCCTTCCTTTCTCTCAGGAAAAGGGACAAAGTGGGTCAATTAAAACTCATTTTCACTTTCAACCAAGTTTTCTAGAGTGAATGATGAATGCATAACCATAAAGCCCAACAACAGTTGATAAAAATTTATATTAGAGGAGAATCTTGCAGCCAATACCTTAACAGCTACCCCTCTATAGCAAGATCAGATCAGGTCTTTAAAAAGATGCAGACATTTGGAAGAAGGTCAAGTTACATATGTTAGAGAGCTATACAGGCAAAGGAAAAAAGGGTCTGGTGTTTAATTCACCTTATCAAGTGCTTGAAATTACAGCTATCTATTTTAATGTTCTTTTCAGTTTTCTTGATGCATTTGCTTTTCGGTAATCAATGTCACCAGTACAGGAAGCAAAAAGCTCTAGTTTATAGATATTAGAAAGAGGAGAGTCTGCTCCCATAAGTCTTTCAACTGCGCTTATCTCCTGACGTTTCAAAACACAGATATATGGCCACATTTTAGGTCACTGTGTTAAACTGCTTGGTCCCATAAGTGAAGTCACTGCATTAAAAAGTCGTAAGAGGTAGAGGGGCAGGGGAAGAGCACATGCATCCAATATCTACAATTCATACTACAACCCAAAATAGCCTATCTATTACTGTTGAGAACAGCTATTGGAGCTTTTCCATCTGATAATCAGAGAGGAAAAAAAAAACCACCCTCTGCTGAGGCCAGTAGAGTGACAGCTTCCCAGAGAAAGACTCCTACATACCATACATTACATAAACAGGTTTGCAGCATAGTGCGCAGTAAGCAGTACTTGCGGACAAGAGTATCAAGAAGTCAAGGTAACCTACCTGAGCACACGGTAAGTTCACAGTAGTAAGGATGTGGCTTTTGCAACAAAAACAGGTATATTGTGTTCTGCTATATTTATGCTGCATACATACACTCCAATGGCCAAAAGTCCATCAATAATCATAGAATCATTTAGGTTGGAAAAGACCTTTAAGATCATCAAGTCCAAC